TACTTAATAGAATTTTGAGTAATAATAAAATGTTTGCAAGAAGTTTTGGTACAAGTGATCTATGGAAAGAGTTGCTTGTCACAAATAAATACTTAAATTATATGTTATCAACTCTATCTATATATTTAATAACTAGTATTAAATCTTGTATTTCACTAGTAAACCTCTTTTTATGAGTTCTAAATCTTAAATATGTTAAAATATATATGAATACTGAGTTTGAAAAAATAGTTATAAATAATTTCTAATATAACAATTATATTTACTGAAATAGCTTCATCTTGAATTTTTAATTTTTAGTAATCAAGAATCTGACTTTAAAAATTTAAAACATTTCCTATCCTGTATTACAAGCTTTTTTAATATTTTTGCTTTTTTATTATTATCATCAATACCTACTTCTATAGTATCTTCTGAATCTGAATTGCTAAATAAGAAGCTAAAATTTCTATTTTGCTTGATCATTGTTGAGTAAAGGAAAAAATAATACTATATTATATACTAAAAAGAACTAGTAGATTTCTATGAACTAGGATATTGAATTGGAAGGCAACTATCTGATCCTGTTTAATATGAAAAGCTAATTTAAGCTCGAGAAATACTAATTGCCTACTCTCAAATACTCCAAGTAGGTATACTACACAAAGTGAATTGCAGTAGTCTTTTAGATCCTAATAGAACTACAAATAGTATTAAAGCTAATTGCAATAGTAGAGAAGATCCCAAATAACTTAAAAACATTTAAACCAAGATCTAGTTTTTTTATTTTTGTGTATAGGATTAGATATGCTTCTCAAAAATAATTATCAATAGTATTGAATAATAGTTAGAGGCTTTAGACTAGATTATTAATGCATTTTTGATAATTTAAGTAGTATGAAGATACTATATTTGCTGTAGTATATAGTTCATTATTGCTACCTATGAAAGTACCAAAAATCTCTGCTATTTGTTTTGCAAATTTCTTAGATTAGTGTAGTGAGTTATGAAGAGTATATTGATTATAATAGTCTACTACTTCTTTAGTATTATTTGTTACTATGGGGTTTGAAAAGAAATAAAAATCTACAATTGTTTTGTCTAATATATTTTTAAAGTATTGAGGCTTGAGAATATATTTGTATCTACTAAGGTTAATGCTACTCATAACCTTTTTTGTTGTTTTGTCTGTGATGTTAAGCTTATCTTTTGAGTTTTGTTGAAATATCTTAGGAATATTATAATTCTTTAAAAGCTTTTTTGATCTTCATCTGCTGATTATATACATGCAATATCTTTGACTAGAGACAACAACAATGCTCTTGAAACTGTTTGTAATAAGTTTTAGAAGTCTTAAAGTATACCTATTTTGCAAATTCTATCTATAGCTTATGAGTTAAATATGTTTTAAAGCTACTATCAAAATATAATATATTAAAAATTTCTGATTCTAATAAGTTTAAGAATTCAGTAGGTATTTTAGAAGAGGATGAGATCGATTGGACATTTTGGAGTAGTAAAATCCTATCTGCTTCTAATTTTGTATTTATATTATATTTATATATTTGATCATCTCTTTATTGTTTTTTTTCTAAAAGCTTTTTAAAAAAGGTAAATATTAAATTCAAAAATATAGAAAGTTGTGAGTGGTTAGTTGACTTAAGATTGCTTGTTAAAAAATTATTCGAAGTTCACAAGCATTAGATATATTCTCGAGATCAGTCTTTTATAAACAAACATGTCATTCCTTATGTTTTATACTTGACTAAAGATAAAAAAAGTAAGTTAGTTTATGAAAACAAGAATAATAGATTATCTCAAAGAATAGTAATTCTATTTTTCATCTAAGTAGATATATTCATATTATTTCTCATAGTATAGCCTAGTAGTTTAAAACCTGAGAAGTTTGTTGGACCTTCCTCACTTTGCATATACTTCACATAAAAGAATAATGATTATACCTTAAAAACTATGAAAGATAAAACATTTTATTGAAATTTATACTTGTATAAAAATTTGATTAGCTTACTTTCTGAGAATTATATAATATATTTATTTTTTTTGATATGACTAGTTCTAGCATTGTAACAGTGTTCTTCTTCAATAATCAAATAGTCTAGATTTTAACTTTGGCCTTTTTTTTAATATATGTAGTTTTTTTTATATAAATTTCTTTTAGAGGTCTTTGATAAAACATTTAGCAATGATATAGTGATAATATAGTAAACAATTTTATAAAAATTTTTGAGAAAAACAAATAAATTTAGAACAGAACTTTGTAGTTAAGATAACCTTTTTATTATAAATCATAACTTATTTTTATTCAGTATATAAGAATTTGATACGAAGTAGTATACAATATAAATGACTCAGTATTGCAATAATTTAATATGAGTCAACTAACAATTTTTTTGGTGTCAAAATAATTACAAACAATTAAAATGTTTACTAAATTCAGTACTATAATTATTAAATACACCAACAATCACAAGGTATAGTTATATAGAATATGATGATAATTTTATATGCTATTACTATATATTTAAGTTCATTTTACAAATTTAGAATAACTATTGTTTATAATTCTAATATATCAGTTAAACATCTAGCATCACAAATTTTTTACTAAAATATGATTCATGCTAAAAAAAATAAAGTACTACTGTTACTATATGATCTAATAGTTCTACAAAACTACTTCTAGTCGAAGCTAAAATAGTAATATCATATTATTTGCTATTCGAGTTATCAATTCAAATAAGCAATAAAATCTTGACTAGCTTTAACAATTAATAGCCTACATTAAATTTTATGCAGTATCACTCTTGCAGAATCTTTCTTACAGTTAATTTTTTTATTAATAGTTAACTAATATTGATATTACGAATAATATAGAACCTTATTATCTGTTATATATGATCTCATGATAAGAATAGAACTTAAAAAAGCTATGAGGATAATAAGTATAAAATTTTTTAATAGCAGTTTTATCAAAAATCATATGTTGTGGGAATTTGGAATCTCTGCAATCTCTACAATCTCTGAGATCTAGCCTATTTTTAATGATCAGCAAATCTAGGGGATCAAATTTCAACTAAAAATATAGCAAAATAGAGTTAGCATTTGGGACTTATAATCAAATAGACTTACTTTATATAGTGGAATCTAGATTGTATTACTCTACTATAATTACTAATTATATAACTTTTTTCTAGTAAGTTTTTTAAATTTAACAAATAGATAGTATAAATAAGCAAGTTTCTACTTTAAGATAAGTTAGCAAATAATGTTATTTTTTGTTCATATAAATTTTTACTTGATTTACTTGCCTGTATTTTTTTTAAAAAAGTAATTTGTATTATTTTATTTTACTTTAGCTATGAAACTGAATTTTACTTACTATATCTTTTTTGTATTTAGATATAAACAATGAGACTAATAGCACTACTACCTAGACTAATGACACTACTATCTTTAAGACTAATAATAGCACTACTACAAGTAATAATACTACTACTTCTATAACTAATAACAATGACTCTTCCAAGACCTATTATGTCTCTTCAATACTACCTAATCCAAGATCTAGCTAAAAGATATCTAATTCACGTAATAATAGAAGAAACAGAAATAATAAATAAAATCTTATCTTATTACATATATTCAGTTTACTTGAATAAACATGTAGTAAAATTTTATTTAAATTAGATAATTTGACCTATAGTATCTTATAAGATGATGAGTATTATAAAGAGAGAAATAATTTCTAGATACTACTTTTAGAAGAATCTATAGAAAGACGTAAAAAAAATGATAACTGGGATGATATGAATTCTAGTAAAGTCTAAGAAATTTTAGATCAAATGTAAACTTCAATAACCTGACTCATTAAAGGCACCTCTTTAAGGTATATATATATATTTTTTTGTATTTTTTTATTATATCAATAAAAATATTTTTTATCTAAATATTATTGTTTTAGCAAAAAAATATTAAATAAAGAAAGGGTCTGCTGGACTCCTAATCTTTTATTTTTATATAGTTTTTTTTATAATTTTTTACAATATAATTTGTGATTAGTTCTATACTATTATGACTGTTATTGGGATTCTAACTGTTTTTCTAATACTATTCTTAAGATCACAATTGAGTAATATATTTTTTATATTAATATGCGTAGATTAGACAATCTAATTTTCTATAAGTTTCACCAGTATTTGAATTGTAGTATTAATCTTCATCATTAGAAAAACTACAATACCCTCTACTATCATTATTATCATCTTCATTGTTATTGAAGAAATCCTCAATATAAAAGTTATCAGATATACTTATCTCTTCATCTGGTAAATATTTGTTATCCTCACAACATATTTTCTAAATTAGAAGTATGGGATGATTCAGTAGGTATACTTGCCTTAATATTTGATATATCTTTTGAGCTAGATGGTTCAACCATGTGTGCATGACAATTTGTTACTCTGATTATATCTATTAAAGACTTAGGAAAATTATTTATAAGATTTTTAATTTGAATATCTTTTAGACTTGAAATAATACTTGCACTGTAAGTTATTTGACTAATTTTATCAATTTCTACTCCTTCATAGAATATATATACTTTTTTTGCTCTAGAAGTTATTTTACACAGGTTTATATCAGTAATATTGGGAAGAAGTAATTTGATTTCATTATATACTATCGTTCTTGCCAATTGGTCATCAATATTATTCGCAGACTTAACATCATTAACTTGATTTTCATATGCTTTATAATAACAATACCAACACAGACTTTTCTTTTGTCGAACCTTCATTGCTACCCTAAATAGATCAACTATATTTTGTGATGTAACCTTACCAGATCCTGTTAAAATTGCTTCTAAAGAAAATTTGGGAATCTGAAGATATACATCACGATAAATAAATTCACTCAATATACACATGCAAATAGAGATAGTACCAGCGTAAGAGTCACTCGGGTAACCTGTATAAGATCCGTTAACCGGGTCAACCTACTGCTACTGGGTGACCCGGATTAATTAATGAAACATTCATCAGATTGGCTTGAAGAAACGGTTAAACAATTTTAACAAACTCAGCTTCGAAAAACATTGTACAAATCAATTATTTTATAAATGTAATAATCATTAGGTCATTTCTTCATGCATTGCTGAGCTAATTCAATATAGTATTCAGGAGTTCCGGAAGCAAATTCTGGCCGTAATCCACGATTAATCTCAATTGCAAGTTTGATATTAGAATCACGTCCGTCAAAGGCCTTTGGTTGACATCTCGGCTATCATAATACCAAAGCTATAAATATCAACTGTTTGTGTAAATTCAAATAATTTCTGGAGAAACATAGGACATGACACCGTAAATATCACCTTCTGAAACACTTTTATTTCTTTCTAGGTGATCCTAGATCTGCAATATGAGATTGGTCAGCTTTGAGAATCGTGAATATCAGATAACATATGAAATATCTTTAAGTATTTTCAGTTTAGCCTTCCAAGTAAGTCTCTAAATTTTTCTTAAATATTTCTAAAG